AACAAGAAACTGACTTATTGGCAATTTTTTTACCGTTTTGCTAAGTTTTCTAGTGCATGTAAAACTTCTTTGGCTACTTTGTAAAATACTTCTGTACCAGCATAGTGTACCAAATTAGACAAAAGTACCAGTAATCATCATGATTATATGTAGAAACTCAGATCATGACAAAAAACTTGACAGATACTTTCAAGCCTACTGTACTGAACCATAGGCATAATAATAATGTAAAAATTTCACATTGCCAGTAAACTTATTGTGTTAAGCAAGCCGGAACCTCTAACGAATAAGTTTTTCGACTAAATAGTTTGTCTAATTTCATTTCCTGACCGATATAACAAGGCATTGCCAATATTAGTTGGTGGATGGTGACAAGCAGTGGAATCCAAGATGCGCATTTCGTCCCATTTGATACTCATCATCTGGATGTACCTGCATTCCGCAGTGAGTGGTGATGCTCCCACCGAGGCTCTTACCCGGTGCCCATAGTTTCAAACGCCAAAGCGTTATCCACTAGACCACTTAGTCCACGAGAGCCACCTCTTGTGAAACGGGTCATATTAATTAGGTCGAGTCCAAAATAGGACGAAATGCGCATCCTGGATTGCACTGCTAGTCACCATCCACCAGTTAACTTCTAATTGCTTGCCCAGATATTGTCAAAGTATCTGAACAATAAGCTGACATGTCAACCTGAGACCGAGCACTTCGGTCCAATCAATCGACAGGAAAATCTAAAATTGAATTAAATATTGCCAATATTATTTGTTTTAGTATACTTCAACATTTTCTGTACTCAATTTTCAATCCAACAATACCTCTTGGACATTTCAGTTTCTAAATATAGACCATACGAACTCATCTCAGATGAATATTCATCAGACTTCGGGAACCAGTTGCTTCCCATTAGCTTTAACTTCTACTACACACTGCTTCCTGCCTTCATCGAAACAACTCTAGAATTTATAGAAAGAGCCTTTTATTGTTTAGCAACTAATACTTTTTAGCAACGCAGAATGTCATACACCTGCACTTTCCTTTAACTCTAGTCTAGTTCACAGCACAGGTCAACTTTAAAATTCAAAGTGACTAAAATTAGAAACTATTGACACGTTGGTTTCAAAATAATAGATTAGTATGAAACTGTTCACTGTTAGATATTGACGCCGAACAAAGGGAGAATATTAAGCTAGAATGGTGCAGCTGTTGAAAATTAGTTTATTACATGATTTCAATTTATAAGATGATACATAATTAGTCTGATATTGGGAAAGAGTTTAGCTTCTTAAATAAAATTCAACTTTACTAAATTGTGTTACTAAGGTTTTGGAATGTTTAATGATCAATAAATAATTCCGGTCATTATTACCTATCACATTTTAAAAAAAAATTCACTTTTATCGATTTTCTCATAGTTCAATTCATTTCAGTCTATTCATCATCAGCTAGCCAAGGTAGCAACACAAATGATGACCATTTACAATAAATCATTAACTGTTTATTATAACTACTTTTCATTTTAATAAATATTTAAATTAATCTTTGTTTTTATCCTCATAGTTGATTGTCTTTCTTCCTTTTTTGCACTATGCCACTGACAGTTTGTGTCTATTTGTTTACCTATCAACTGGTTTACATAAATATTGATCAAGACTAACAAAGTTGATGGTGAGTAGTTAAGGAATAATAATAATAATAATAATAGGGATGTGGTAAAATTATACGTCTAGGCATAGTTTTACAAAAGACATGTCTGCAACAACATGTTCAGTGGCATCTTTTCACCACAATATTTTAGCAAAACTGTTAAAGATGACTTGCAGTTGGCGGTAATCTTCATGTACCTAAATTGGAACGATACCTTTAAGAGGGGGTAATTACTTGATAATGCAGTCGCTGAATGACTGTAAGACATTTCAGTATTCTTTCGAGACAAGTCAACAGACAACTTGCAGAGTGTTTAAGAGATTTGTAAATTTTGTGTAAAACCTTGTTACTGTATCAAACCTCGTCAAATGTTTCTTTTGAAAAAAAATTTCAGTTTAAAAATCAAGAGAAAGCATTCCAACTGATTAAAAATACCCATTAAAATTTTCAAAAGAATAGACACGGAACACAGAGTACTCTTTTCGATAAATTCATCATCAGGTTCTACAATTATATATACATTATAATGAATGAATTAGTCTTATGAACGACATTAATGTTTAAATAACATCAAATAAATAATATTGATAAATTACAGCTGAACGGCATCAACATAAAATAAACTGAATGTCAGGAGAATTAGAAAAGGTAATAGTACAAATTCATGAGTTTATAGTCTCTACTGAGGACCAGGGCAGTAGTAGGAGCTGGACTTGTTTCTTTTGCACACAGAGCACTGGTTGTTTGAGGCGAATTGCAATAGCCTCTGCTCTTTGGAGCATGCGGTGCTTCGACGATTCTGGTAGTTTGTTAGGCACCCGGTATATTATCGAGAAGGATTCTTCAACGCTGGCTTTGTGACCGGTTTGCACCAGATGGTCCAATATCGAGCTGTTAATAGTTTTAACTACACCTTTACTTAGCCATAGTGGGAAATGTTCTCGAGCACGAAAAATCAAGTTCCTAGAGCAACGGCCACATTCTGAAGGATTATTCTTTAAGACTGTAATATTCCATAAATTATTGGCTTGAAGGTAGTAACTCCATAATGGTTAAGATTTTATTTTGATAAATCAACTTGAAGGTAGTAAGATTAAGTGTACGTACATATCCAAGGCTCTAAAATGAATTGTTTCTGAGTCAGCAAACAGTCATCAGTAAATGAATAAGCAGTGTATCTAAGAGAGAGTTGAATTCCTATTACCACAAGGAAGAATACACTATTGTTCTTCAAATCAGCCTGTACCAAAATTCTTCACTATCTGTCATAAGGTCTACGAAGTGTACAACCGGAAATATATGGAATTATGGATATTGATAGATAATTTATTTCTGATTCACCCATGACACGCATCATCTAATCTAATACCCTGAAATCTTTCCTCCATATACTTACAAATTTAGTGGCTATTTCTCGAAAAACCAAAATTTAGACACCGAAATGTGGAAGATTTCCAATAGTATATACTCATCCTTCCTGTGACTATTTACGTACTAGGGAATTCAGTAGGAATTTATGAACGGTCAGTAATTGATGCGCTAATTATCCATTCAAAGCTTTTTGTGTCGTTCATTTGACTATAAGTGGGCAATTTATTTGAATGAATTAGTTTTTATCAGTTTGATTCTGTAACATAAGTTAAATATGAACTGAATTTTGTTTCGTTGAGATTTTAAAAATCTCAGTTGATGCATACTTCCCGTTGTTGCATAACTATTTGGTAGTTAATGACAATGAAAATGCAAAATCGATCAACTTAACACCATTATCTGTTCAACTATAAACATGCTTTTATATTGTCGTACTACGCTGATGGATATTCACTAGAAATATTTGTAATTTTCCCTTCTGAATAGTTCTAGTCTCTGGTGAATCTCTGGTGGCATAGTTATACTGTTCAACCTCTTTTGACAATGACAGAATCACAAAAGAATGACAGTGGATGGGATATTTAACTCTACGGGCATCCACAATGACCACTGGAAATTACTGAGGATCAGTTTTCATCCCGCTAAATATCAAATGCTGCTTCAGGAGTAATTCGAAATGATCTTAGACTTAAAGTAGATACCATGAACTATTTTAACATTTAACCTTGCCTCCTTGAAGAGTGAAGCGATAGTTGTTAAGTAGAGAAGTGACAAGTCTTTCAGAGCCGTCATTTCTTGCTAGTTTGGCTATTGTCAAGCCGTACAGAATGTAAACTGAAGATCAGAGGTACAGTGCAGTGACTCTACTTTCTTTGTTACATGAATGGACAATACGGTCACGAATGGTGAAGTATTGACCATCTACTGAAATTCTCTACTAACCTATACTTCTTTCTGTTTCATCACTTATTTGACAATATTGGCCAGAAGATACACTGATGTTGGATCGGAGTACATTAGCGGAGCTGTGTCACTTCACGTTTAATTTGTTTGCAACATTATGACAGATATCTACCATATTCAACCCAATCAACAGAACTGTATATTTGGTGTCGAGATGTCAAACTTTGACTTGACATATGGAATGCTAAACATAATAACTGGTTCCGCGAGAAACGAAACGAAAAATTAATCCTTACTGTTTTCTTAAATTTATTTTGATCGAACAGACAGAAAGAAACATTGTACAATAAACATTTATGTGAATTAAATACATCGGCTTTGAATTTAAGAAAAAGCGTTGTACTACTTATTTGTTTGTAAGTAGCATGAAGGTTAATATGTAAATTCCATCCGATTTGTTTTGATAAGCCTACCCTACTAGTAGCAAGTGCCAAGCATCTAATCCTTTGTTGGGTACGTATTGAATTCTATCAGCAAAGTTTGCAGTGTAGCCACCATGCTAGATGGATCGCCATCATAGTGCACTCTGAAGTGTTGTTATTCGATGGTTGGTGGCAATCGAAAGGAAGCCCTGAACCTATGTTTCGCCCTTGTTGGCACTCGTCATCAAGGCGTGCCTGAAGTTTTGAGAGAATTTATGTCCCTTATGGGATCCAAACCTGTGTCTTTTAGTGTTGCAGCCAGAGATATTACCACTAGGCTGTCTGGGATCATGACTGACCTTCTGTAGGACTGTATTGGATAGTCTCGTGCATCTAGTCTTCTGTTTAGTGAAGACTGAATTCCATCAGTCAATTAGGACAGTGTAGAAACAATTGAAGGTTCTGCTGGCTGTCCAGTAGTCCCTGCAGGTTTTCCAATAGTTCTCTGACAGATTTCAACTCATAATGAAATCCTGTAACCGATCAATCAAATCCCCACAAAACCAATACTCGAAAGACAAAACTATGTTTGAAAGAAATTGTACTATAAAAGATATTGATAATTTTTTTCGCTTCCATACATGTTTAATAAATTGTTCGTCTGAAAATTGAACAGTTATCTAATTCAATTATCAATAAACAGTATGTTACTTGATATGCAATTATCATTATCATTGTGAAAGTTAAACACAATTCAATGAATTCTCCTTGCTTTTAAACTTTCATTTGTTTTTGATTTATTACTGTATGTACTACTTGTGACACTACTTGTACTTCCTTCAAATTTATTAACTTTTCTTACATTTTGATAATTGGAAGCCATTTGATTTCTTGGTTTGACAGTCACCTATTAAATAAAGAGGAAAAAATTTTGAAATTAGTGCTAACTGCATCTTTTAAGAAATAAATGGTTCATTCAGTCCTTTGTTTATAAATCAGTTACTAAAACAATGTCCTCCTGCTTAAATATTCGTCATATTCTGCTGATGTTAGCAAGTTATATAGTCATTAAATGAATGCGCTTTATGACTCTAGAAAATTAATTTTGTGGTCTAGTGATAAAAGATCATTATATCAAGCATTATCTTGTATAAACTGATCGGTCTCCCGTAATGTCAAAGCGTTGAATAGTGTTTGCCTGGCTTTTCGACTGGAAAAAAAGATTCTTTGAGATTGTGCATAAGCCGAGCTGAGAAAAACCGAAAAGTTGGTAGCTTAAGTACACAACAGCCTACAAAATGAATTTATAGCAAATTACACTGAATAAAATGCGTATTTTTGTAATTATTAGTCCAGATATTGTGAAGTCTTTCTTTAGTGATTTGATCACTTTGTTCTTACTGGCAGGGATTACTGATTGACATGAGTGCTCCATTATTACTCATATCAGTCAGTAGAATTTATCGCACTTAGCTTAGCACATTACACTGGAAATAGAGTTCAATACAACTAAAAGTTACAAGATTATCCCAAATACTACCCTTACTACAGACGGGGAAGAAAATAAAGGAACTATAGAAGTCAATTTTCGAAATTGTGTAATTACAGTTGACATGTTTGTGAACAATCAATTGTGTACGAAACATCATCCAGTAAATAATACTATTTCATTGTGTGATGTAACCAGTATACAAATTAGCATGGAATTATTTCAAGCATTTTTATGTTACCAATTCATAAAAATTTTTTCGCAACTCTATGCTTCGTCATCACAGAACAAAGCATAGAATGGCAGTCAAACCTGTCTCTACCTCAACTTCATCTACTTTGGAAAGGCCTTCGACATACAGCATTGACCGAGAAGTAATTTGAAGACGACTTCAACACTACGGCGTACCTCACGTCTTTATTAGCCTCATTCAACAGCTATATGACAATACCACATGTCAAGTGATTCACAACGAAAAACTCAGCAAGGTGTTCGAAGTGCATACAGGATTAAGACAAGGCTGTCTATTATCACCGATGATATTCTTAATTGTGGTGGACTGGATTATGCGTCAGACTATTGAGGCGAGGAGTCAGGAATACGCTGGACGACTGATATAAAGACTCTAGAGTATCTGGATTTCGCAGATGATATATGTTTGATGTCACACAAACTCAAAGACTTGCAAGCGAAAACCAACAAACTGGCGGTAGAGGCAGGCAGCGAAAACGGGACTCCAGGTGAACATAGAGAAGACGGAGGTGATGAAGATAACCAACCAATCAACAGAAACACCAATCAGCACTAATCCCCATCAACAGGAGAGATTTAACAGAGATTGCCTCCTTCACTTATCTGGGAAGCATCGTTTCAACTACAGGCAGAACGGACGAAGATGTCAGAGTCAGAAATGGAAGGGTAAGGTACACCTTCATCAACCTAGAACCAGTTCGGAAATCTTCCGCACTCAGCATTTTCAACACCAATGTGAAGTCTGTTCTTCTATACGGGTCAGAAAATTGCACTGCGTGTCACGAAAAGCATTTCCAACAGGCTACTGGAGACTTTTATCAACAACGGACTTCGCTCCATACTGAAGATCAAATGGCTGGCCAGAAAGACTAAGCAACAAGAAACTGTGGGAACAAACCAACCAAGAGCCGATCGCTCAACATATATGTAGGAGAAAATGGAGATCGATCGTGCACACATTGAGGAGGCCACCGAATGACATCGCACATAACGCCCTCGAAAGGAATCCCAGTGGGAAGTGACGAGTGGGTTTTTGATGCGAGAGTGACATTCAGGAGGTCGTGCGAGGAAGAGATGAGAGAGATTGGTCAATCTTGGACCCAGCTGAGGAAGACGGTAGAAAACAGAACAAAGTGGAGATGTGTTGTTGAAGCTCTATGTTCCACTCGGAACGCAAGGGAATAATAATAAAGTAATAATAATTCACAAAATGATACCCAATTTAGTGGTTGTTGCAAAGAAATAATTTATAGGCTATTTAGAAAAGGTATTCACTGTTAATGTTACTATTTAGAAACAAGAGAACAAAAAGCTGCTGCTCTCAAGTTACTTTTTTTAATTAAAACTCTTTCATCCATTCCGTGTTTTGAATTACTGAAATTGATCCTACAACACATAGTTCTGGAATATGGATAAAAGTGATAAAACATTCCATTTTATGTGTTTATCAAAAGTCTTGTAGCAGGAGACTTTGTTAGAACACATTAAATCTAGTTTAATCTAGCCAGTCTGAACTATCCGCGCAATTAAGCAAGTTTCGTGCGTTTATAATAAGGGAAGTAAAAACCCCGTTTGTTGTTTAAATATTCACTTCTACTAGCTCCTTGGTGACATGAACTAGTTTCTATTTAGATTATTTCTGATTGCCTCGAATTAATTAAAAATCCCCATTAACTAGTTCGTAGGGATAAAAGTGACTTAGTCAATGAGCACCTATATCCAACTGTATTCGAACACACACCTACACTTAAGCTATTGTAATGTAACGAAACAACTATATTCATTGAATATAGAACTATATTTTGTTAGTAATGAAAGATTTTACCTTCACTGACAGTTAAATACAAAATTTGAACGAGGAAATTATTATTATTGTTCCCTTGGGTTCCTAGTGGAACATAGGGCTTCAACTGCACGTCTCCACTTGCTTCTGTCTTCTGCTGTACTTTTCACTTGCATCCATGTTATTCCATACTGTTTCAGCTCCTCTTCACACGATCTCCTCCATGTCACCCTTGGACGTCCCACTCGCCGCTCCCCTTTCGGGTTCCACTCGAGCTATGGCCTGACGCGCGATGTCACCCAACGGCCTCCTCAGCGAGTGTCCAATCCATCTCCACTTTCTCCTGCATATTTGTTGAGCGATTGGTTCTTGTTTTGTTTGTTCCCATAGTTTCTTGTTGGTGATTCTTTCCGGCCGGCCATCTGATCTTCAGTATAGAGCGAAGACAGTTGTTGATAAAGGTCTGCAACAGGCTGTTGGAAATATTCTTTGTGACCCGCCAAGTTTCTAAACCGTATAGAAGAAATGACTTGACGTTTGTATTGAAAATCCGAATTTTTTTGTTGATGTTGAGTGACGAAGATTTCCAGATTGGTTTCAGGTTGATGAATGTGTTTCTCGCCTTCCCGATTCTCGATTTGACATCCTCGTTGGTTCCTCCTGTAGTTGAGACAATGCTCCCTAGATAAGTGAATGAAGTAACCTCTTCCAAATCCCTCCCGTTGATGGTGATTGGCGCTGGATGTTGCTGCTGTTGTTGTTGTTGGTTGGTTGGTTATTTTCATAACCTGCGTCTTGTCTATGTTCACCTGGAGTCCTGTTTTTGCTGCTTCTTCGACCAGTTTGTTGGTTTTCGCTTGTAAGTCTTCGATTTTGTGTGACATCAAACATAAATCATCCGTGAAATCCAGGTCTTCTAGGTTCTTCACGTCGGTCCAGGATATCCCTGTCTTCTCGTTTCCCACTGTCTGACGTATAATCCAGTCCACCACAATTAGGAATATCATTGGTGATAGTGAACGAGGAAATTAGTTAATTCTTATTCACCAATTTTGTCAGTTGAGAAATGAGAAACAAACAATAAGTCAATATCTTATGATAGGACAATTATGGACAAAAATTTATGCTGAAGGATTATCAGTGAATTCTATTCAATACATGAACTTACATCATTATCCAATTGGTCTGTACAACTCTCATTTAACTGCATATTTAATTTTGCAATTTCCCGTCTAGATTCATCTAAACGTGCCTCCAATTTCTCTCGACGAATACGTTCATATTCTAGTGTTGCTTTTAATTCTTCAATTTGTCTAAAAATAATAATAATAATGTATACAAAAGTTTGAGTATTCAGTTTCTATTCAGTTTCTATTTTATTCATTTGCCAACTTTTTATTCTTCTACGTATAATTATGAATTAATGTAGAGTACTGTGAAATAAATCTGCTCTTCCCAAGAGATTCTACTAAATTTTTTAATTTATTGGGTTGCCAACAAAATGGGGAAAGTATTGATTTCTATAATAAGTGTTTTTTTATATACTACTTAAATACAAAAAGTATTAGCCATCGACTTTTTAGTATTACAGCAAACTTAATGGTAAAGTGATAAAGACTCGGACAAGAGAGGACAAATAAGTTCTTCCAGGATTACTGCTATGTACTACCACTGGCTCAGGCTTTTTTCCTGATGATATATATAATTTTTATGAACATGTTCGCAAGTTAGATCTGTTTATCACACTTCAGATCCATAAGTAAATATAATACAGTTGAAGATTAGAAGTACTGCAGAATGTTACTGTAATGAATTCAGAGGATATAAACGCCTAATATTACAGCTTAATAGACTTGGATTATACATGCAACATCTGTGCAACATCGGCACAGGATTATTCTGTACGCATCTGCACCATCTAATTCGTGGTCTTTTTAAATGCAGAATACTTCGTCAGTGTCCTTAAATTACTTATAGATTATCCATATATATGCTCTAAAATGGGGTCCTAAAGCTCGAGGTTTCTCGGTTATGTTCTTTTAACTGGGGATTTTAGGCATGCTTTATAAATGGTATAGAAATTTTGTCAATAAAAAAGGTTGGGCATTATTTTTGACAGATATCAAATATAAGCATTCAGCTGAGAGGAAACAATTACACAATTTATTCCGGTTTTTTTTAACTGATTAAAAATGCCCATTAAAGTTTACAAAAGAATGGATATTGAACAAGGAAAACTCTTTTCAATAACGCCATCACCAGGCTCTACAGCTATATATACACATTATAGTGAATGAATGAATTAGTGTTATGAACAACATCAATGTTTAAATAACATCAAATCAATGATATTGATAGATTACAGTTCAATAGCACGAACATAAAATAGGCTGAATGTCAGAAAAATTGGGAAGGATAATATTACAAATTCATGAATTTATAGCCTCTACTGAGGGCTAGGGCAGTAGTAGGGGCTGGACTTGTTTCTTTTGCACACAGAGCACTGGTTGTTTGAGGCGAATTGCAATAGCCTCTTTTGTTTGGAGCATGCTGTGTTTCGATGTTTTTAGCAATTTATTAGGCACCCGGTAAATGATAGAGAAGGATTCTTCAACACTGGCTTTGTGACCGGTTTGCACCAGATGGTTCAATATCGAACTGTTAATGGTTTTCACTACACCTTTACTTAGCCATAGTGGGAGATGTTCTCAAGCACGAAAAATCAATCAAGTTCCTAGAGCAACGGCCGATATAACTCGCTCCACAAGCACAGTTAAATTGGTAGATACAATTTGAAATGGCTCGACATGTTTAATAGACAGTATAGATTCACAAACAATATATTCTCGATAAATATTCGGATTTCTTGATGAAATATGAGATTTCATCAACGTCTCAAATACCTAGTGAGAAATTCTATTAAGAACCTTAAAAACCACCAATTCATTTCATTTCCAGTTTCGATGTATTAACAGAATTTAGTCCTACTGTATTTTCTGTGGAAAAGTGTAGCACTAGGGCGTAAACTTATTTCATATACTATGATTCTGAATAATTTTATAGTTATTAGATAAGTAAAGAAAATTTTTATAGACGCGGCCAACTGATGTAACTTGGGTTTAGCAAATTAATACCACTTGCAGCTAAAAGGGCGTTTACTGAAGTTAAAGTCAAATTTAGAGTTGCAATAATGTTCTGTCAAGTGGTTTACAAGGTACTAATCAATAAGGAGACTACAACTATGAATCTTATCTCAACCTACATTTCTATGTAAAATCAGTCACCAATTAGTTAATTTTTAATCTCTACTTACAAATGAATATATGTATAGGAACTCACTTTTCGTAATCGCTTCATGGAAGTCCAATTTTTCATTAGTAAATTCGGAATTCAAAAAGAAATATTTTAAAATACCTTTTTACTATAAAGTTAACTAGATTAAAATGCATCATAAAAGTATTAGATTATTTGTATTCTATCCTGATTACATTCTTATGCTGTAGTGAGTCTGAAAAAAAAACAACATTTGAACTCATGGGGTGTCTATATTTGAGACTAAATGTTTCTAGATAATAGGAAAATTACTTCGTGATTTGCTTTTTTACTTTTACAGTTTTCAATAAATAAGAAAGCCTGTTTGTTTGAAAAGAAAATAGTTTAGGAAAGATTACTGTCAGTATGGTGTTCTAGGTGTTCGAACCAAGAATTTGTTAGGAAAAGGTAAATACTAGTATTTGCAGTTGTTTTTCATTTACATTTACAATTTCCAGTGTTTTTTTATTATATCGAATCTACTGGTGTCTTTTGACATAGAGATTGTTTTGAAGAATATCTTTGGGTCTTATTTCAGTGTTTTCAAATTTAAATGTGGCTAACAGAGGAATTCAGGACATAGAGTTGGTTCATTTCGTTACTCGTCATCTAGATACAGCAAAAAGGAAGCAACGTGTGTCCTAGACACCATTGATAGCCACCCGTAATGTTGTTATGTATGTAAATAGTTGCGAAATGGTGAAAGCCAGTAGAAGTAAGAGCTGAGGCGAATCTAATTTTAGGATGATCCGTTACCAGACTATTTAACTTTGTATACATTATTCAATTACAATAACGTTAACCAAAACAGATTCAATGAATTTTGTACTAATCTCCTTCAACGAACAAGCGTTTATGCACTTCTTTATATGTTTTGAGAGATAAGAAAGAAAGGCAGCGAAACACTCGAGGAAAGGCTTTCTAAATTTATGTCCCATATCGTCTGGTTAGAAGTGTAAAAGTACCTAAGGAGTAATTATGATCATTCTGTATTTCTATGACTGCAACGTAAACTTTTGAAAAGCATACACCAGAGTTATTTTATATTTTAAAATAATTCTTATCACGAATTGACATTGGTACTGAGGCTGCTAGAAGCTTCTCAGTAGTATGTTGTTGTCTCATCCAAGGACTTTATCAAACACACTAATTCTAATCAATCTATACAACTGAAATACAGTAATTAGCATTTTACAGATTCGCATTAACAGGTAGAATATTGTAACTATTATTCGATTCCATTTGTTGGTGTATATTTTCCCCATTGCTGAGCCTGACTACACAGATAACCGCTCCTCATCATAGCTTCGGTAAAATTCATTCTCAGCTAGAAAAAAAAAACAATTTTCCTACTATTCACTTTTCCAAGGTATGTTCACAATGTGTCAGAATTGTATACAGGTTATCATCAACGGTAACCACTCTTATAATTCTCAGCTCCCTGTGAACTATAACAACAATAATAATAACTTATTTGTGGTCGGCAGATCGTGGCATTTGAATTTCGGTGAATATAATGATTCCAAAGTTACACTTTCCATTCGATAAAAAATCAGATGAAATCATCATGAAACCCATGCATTTGAGTCCCAGGTTTAAGCCTCTCACCGTCCGCCTACTTCATTTCAACTGCATAGAATCATTAGTTCCTACACAATATGTATGGCTCATGGAGTGTTTCGAGCAACCGGTTTCTTACTAAGCTGCAGTTAACATTTATAGATGATGTAATCTCGGTATTCTATAAAATGTTATTTCTGATCAATAAAATTCACGAAGTTATGAGTAAATTATTATTTTAAGCTAAGAATACTATTAATCATTGACCATAACAATAAAATCCCACTCACTAAAGATCCTAGTTCCTGTACACAACAACTTATTATTGTTGATTCACTAGTGTGAAAACCATCACTATACATCTGCATCACATATACCTACCGATCAGTTTCTTGTAGGATTTTGTATCTTTCTTTCTCTTCTTCATCCAATGGACCACCAAGTTGTTTATAATCTGATTTAGCCAAATCTAATAAGCGTTCTAATTTTTCTATTCTCTTTTTAGCCCTGCCTTGAATAAATAAATGAAAGAGAAGAAATACACTGTACTATTGATACATTCTAAGTTGTAAACTACCAATTCTTATTCTACCGATCTTTTAAAGTGGTTAAAAGTGATCAATAAAGAACAAATAATAACACTTCTTGGTGTTCAAATACAGAACGCCACACTTGATATTCTACCATTCCAGACACAGAGACAGTATGATATCATCTGAAATGACCAAGATAGGTAAGGTGGAATTCAAACCCGTAACTCATTTACTGAAAGGAGAGTATACACATCAATACATCATGACTAAATTGATGACCTTATCTGCTAAAAACAAAGTCGGTAAGTGTTTAAACATAGTCAAGACTGACACCTTAAAGGTATTTTACAATATATATCGAGATTCCTATTGGGTAATTCCAATGTAAATCTTCTTTACTTTGAAATCAGAACAAAGAACAAAAGCCTACAACTTCTTTTATAGATACATTCAACCTATTCCACTTCTATAATAACTCTTCCGACTTTAAAGTGAACACCTTTTCAACTAATCTATAACTCATGATTTATGGGAATACATGAATCAGTTAGGAATATCTTAAATTACAGAAAACATTTTGATAGTGAACTATATTTCATTTCTTTAATATTGTTCCAGAATGATTACAATTATCTGAGAGTATGAGACGAGAAGTGAGACTAAATTTAATATTATTGTTTAACTTAATCGTGATTTAACTATCAATATTTTCAGTACCAAATTTTACATATGCCACTTTCTTAAGTTTACAGATTATTTTGAGTAGATGTAGTACCTTTCAAGTCGAATATTTCTGTGACTACATTTTTATTTATCAACTTTGTTGAAGTCTTACAAGAGGATAAGTGTATCAGATTGATTTTTCACGAAACCAAGATGGAAAGTATTTGCGATTTATGTATCTTAACCATGTTTTTAGAGCGAAAGCATCGGTAGAGTTTTAAAATTATATCGTATACTGTACGACCAACAAAATACTACTCATTTTTCAAATATGTCATTTGTCCTGTAGCTGTTGCACCACATAAGACAATCTAGACTAGATAAAGAGGTGTCTATCTGACTTATGACAGAGTTTTGAATGATATGTTAGTCATCGTCTTTAGTTAACCTGAATACAAAGCATATATATCCACCTAAACATTCATTTTTGAGCTACAAATATTCACAGCTATTATATTTGTTTTGAAATCTATTAAGACTGTTGGAACTATTATTATTATTCCCTTGGGTTCCGATTGGAAAATAGGGCTTCGACAACACATCTCCACTCTGTTCTATATTCTGCTGTCCCCTTCAGTTGGATGGATCCACTGTCGCCCATAATCTCTCAACTCCTTCTCCACACATGATCTCCTCCATGTCGCCCTTGCATCGACGACCCACTCGTCGCTTCCCATTAGGATTCCACTCGACCAGTGGCCTGGTTAGCGAGTGGTGTCATTCGACTGTCTCCTCAGTGTATGGCCGATCCACCGCCATTTTCTCCCACATATCCGTTGGCTAATCGGCTATTGGTTGGATTTTCCCAGCCAGAATTTCTTGCTGCCAATTCTTTCTGGTGGGCTGGCCGTTCAATCTTCAACATGGAACCAGCGAAGACAGCTGTTGATAAAAGCCTCCAGTAGCCTGTTGGAAATGCTTTTTATGACACGTAGTGCAAGTTTCTGACCCACATAGAAGAACTGACTGACAGACTGACCGACTTCACATTTGTGTTGAGCTAATCCGAATCTTGTTCTTTATGCTGGGGGGGGGGTGGAGTGCAGCAGCAGATTTCCGAACTGGTTTCAGGCTGATGAAGGCGTATCTTCTCTTACCGATTCCGACTGGTTTTGACCTCTTTATCGTTTTCACCGGCCTGTGGTTGACGTCGTGCTTCTTAGATAATTGAAGAAAGTAACATCTTTCAAATCTCTCCCGTTAATGGTGATTATTTCTGGTTGTTGTTGGTTCTTTGGTTACCTTCATCATCTCCGTCTCCTCTATGTTCATTTAAAGTGCTGTCTTCGCTGCCTGCCTCTTCTGTCAGTTTGTTGCTTTTGGCCTGCAAGTCTTCGAGTTTGTATGACATCAGACATAAATCACCTGCAAAATCCAGAATTCTTTCGAGCATATTTCATAGTATTTCTAAATGAGATTATTCCCAGTTAGATGTAATGCACAGCTCTGCCATCCAACTCAGACTAACAGATATTACAAACCTGATATTGAAATACAAGGCTCTTGAATAGCTACTTCATTAAATAAGTAGACAGCAGAAATGCAAACTGTCATAGTGTCATAATGCAACTATAGGCACTACTCGTTCAAGTCTTGGTGAGATTTTACTTCACCTTCAATCATCACCTAACACATCAATGCAAATGGGATTATCTAAACTCTTTCAGATGGTTCATTGAACAGTTACCACTTAATTAACAAGACAAAAATCGGCTGTTTAAACATACTGAAATGACTAAGTTACTACCATCAGTTACTCCCCATCACTTATCTGGGGAGTATTGTCTCAACCACAGGAGGAACGGACGAGGATGTCAAATCGAGAATCGGGAAGGCGAGAAACACATTCATCAACCTGAAACCAATCTGGAAATCTTCGTCACTCACCATCAACAACAAAATTCGGATTTTCAATACAAACGTGAAGTCAATTTTGCTTTACGGATCAGAAACTTGGCGAGTCACCAAGAGTATTTTCAACAGGTTGCAGACCTTTATCAACAACTGTCTTCGCTCCATACTGAAGATTAGATGGCCAGAAAGAATCACAAACAAGAAGCTATGGGAACAAACGAAACAGGAACCAATCGCCCAACAAATATGCAGGAGGAAGTGGAGGTGGATTGGACACTCGCTGAGGAGGCCGTTGAGTGACATCGCGCGTCAAGCCCTCGAGTGGAACCCGAAAGGGAAGCGGCGAGTGGGACGTCCAAGGGTGACATGGAGGAGATCGTGTGAAGAGGAGCTGAAACAGTATGGAATAACATGGATGCAAGTGAAAAGTACAGCAGAAGACAGAAGCAAGTGGAGACGTGCAGTTGAAGCCCTATGTTCCACTAGGAACCCAAGGGAACAATAATAATAATAATATCAGTGCAATGTAGTACCTCCATCAACCTCTATTGTAATATTATCGAGCGTTGACAAATGAAAGTACGAGAATAACATATTGATAATGATTTTTTATTTTATTATCTCCCATAGTAAGTTGGTAAATACTTGTGAACCAAGTTTGTAATTAAAAATATCAACCTTGAAAGCATTCATTCCTTTCATTAAATCCATGAATAATTAAGGACCTGATTATTAAACACCTCACTGTCCTATCGCCTTTATATCATTCGTCTTTTGACAGATTTTTATTCAGTTTAATTAATTTAATAATTTCCTTATGATGAAACCTTATTTTAGTTGTGACACGTTTTAAACAGTTGCGATGAAATGCCACCAATTCTAGGTTCAAACTAGCTAGTTTGATATTTACGATGTTTCATTTCTAGTTTTTTTTTAATGATTTATATAATTTGATGAATTACTGACATGACTGACTTGTTCTTTTGTTTTCTATCAAGTATCAGTAACTCAGTTAAACACTTAAAGAGTTGAAAACTATGAAAGGTAAACCATAGAAATCCATAATTACCAAGTGCAGCATTTTTGTCCATTATAAGTTCAGGCATCTTTTCACCTTCCGTATAACCATATGGTATATCAGATGGTAAATCTGTATCTGATACTTCGTCCTTTTCGTTTCCTTCTTCAGATTTAGATACTAAAAGTTTTAACGTTCCGAGCTGACCATATCTTCGAGCTACATCAGCAGGTGATTCACCTATTGAATTCCTCAATCTTGGATCAGCGCCATTCTCTCTAAGCCATTGAACAATTTTGATATGTCCTTGACCTGCGGCTAAAGAATACATAGAAACCAAAGTGTATCTTTTTATTTCACGCTAATACTTAGAAATAATTATTTTAATTATTATTATTATTAATAATAAATTTGCATGTCTGACAGTATAGTGAATAAGTAGATGTACTGGTATCATCTAGAGAACTACTAAAAATCTAACGGTTTTGAACCGATATCTATTTTTTCCACGACTCTTCAACAGTGCGCAAACGCCGCTGTTTCATCTATTTCTACAGGTTATAACAACTGGAGACGAAAACTATCGTCTAAATAATACTTTTCGATATACTGCACTGTTAAATTTATCCTTTTATTAAATAAGAACGGAATTTTAATTTGTTTTATGGGTCCAAGACGGTGCTCTGTAGATACATAGAGAATTTACTTTAGATGGCGTCTAATTCTTCTTTCAGACAAATGATGTCCTTTTATTGTGAGGAAACCAAGCTGGTAAAACACCCAGTTTTCTAGTACAGCAAAGAAAATTAATTGTCTGTTTTCGTATGGAGTCAGTTGTATTATGGTAAAACTTCATGAGAGATTCAGTCTAGTGTTTAGAGCAGGTAGTAAGCGAAACTTCAACGATGAAAGCTTTGTCACCTGAAAAAGTGAGTCTTATACACTTATTGACTAACTTGATAATAAGCAACACAGTTGTAAGTGCCTGAATATTCATCAAAGTCTACCAATAAACCTAAGCAACACAGTACTACAGTGTATCATATATAAATATTACATGTTTGTGATGACACCCTAGTTGATCAGAATTTTGCATTCCTTAACATTCTTTAACAAATTATGTTAATAAACATAAGGAAAACAATGTCATTTGAAAAGGAGCAGAACCGAGTTAATCAAGCACACAATTATGTGCTAAAATGGATGTGCTTGCTGTCGAGATTCCCAGTGATATTTATTGAAAATAATTTTTACAGAAATTCTTCAGTTGTAGAAGCATTTATTATTGATGGCAAGACTATTTAAGATAGCCATAGGTTGGTAAATTTTTCCTGATGTAATGGATGGTGACTGAAAGTGAAGTGATAGTCTGGGTTGCGGAAGGATTCAAGCCATAGACTTTCTAACTACTAATTTGTGGTAAGTGAAGTGAATTGGTGACCTAGTTGACAGTTGAGTTTCTCATTTCAGCTGACAGAACACTAGACTAGTAATTCACAGGCCGCTAGTTTGAATTTTACCGTGACCCAGACTTTCATTTTATCTTCAGTTACTACCCACTGTATCATATTACATTTACCAACCAAACTTTAAGTTATCGTTCTAAAAATATTATGAAGAATGGAGAAAAACTTCAAAATAAAAAGTGAGGTGTCTAATGCTGGGCGATATATGTAGTCAATTTATTCGAACTTCAGGGACATTCTTTATCACCGGTAGACATCAGCTGAATTATTACTCTTAACTAGAGTGAACTAAGCAGCTGCTTTGTTCTTGTCTCGGACTTGTCAGCAATGCGCCACTAACTTTACGCATGATCCAGCTCACAACCTTCAGGTCTTACCGCTAGCTAAAAGCTATGCCTTATGTTAATCATTTGTTAATGTAGCTTGAGAATCTGAGAAGAAACTCAGTCTCAACCTTCAAAGTATTATGCATGCTTTACATTCTCTTACGAACCCACTGATTTGGGAAAAAGTAGTAAGATTATCTTTACATTGAAAATATAAAAATAACGCAGACAAGAAGTTTAGTTATCTGTAAAGAAGAAAGGTTATATGTTGGTACTAGATGGTTAGAGGCAATCGGCAGGAAGCCTTCAAACTAGGTTTCATGATAGTTGGCACTAGTCAGCAAGGTGTATCTGCAAGCTTGAAGATGCTAACGTTCTGCTGATTGCCTCCAATTATATAATACCAACAATTTACAGTGCGAACAATCTAGCATGGTGGCCACATTGTAAACTTGACTGATACAATTCAGTTTGCACCAAAGACAGGACTAGACACATTACACTAGTTACTGACTAGTGTCCAATGAAAAGGTAGTCTTTTGTGAAATATGCTTGGAGTGTACTTGCTTATTGACAAAGTTTGCGCCTAATCTAGACTCACTATTTGTAATTTTTTTATTCTTTCACGTTCCCAGTGGGACATAGGGCTTCAAGCTAGAGGCTTGAAGTTTCTGTAGCAGTGGTATTTATTTTTACAGAATGAGGTTGCTAGCCTCATGATCAACCTTTCCTCTTTACCGGCTTTATTTCTGGCTTAGCGAGGTAAAGGAGTGCGTCGGCCGGTGATCGATTCCCAGACCACATGCGTGATCGGCGAGCATCCTAACCTTTGTGCCACCGAAGCACCACTACTTATTACTAGTAACAAAAATAACTTTTAAAAAGCTTATGTTTGTATAAATCGCAAAGTGTGTGAACTATTCCCTTTAAACTTATATATCTGACAAAGTGCAACATGAATGGAAAGTTTTTAACACTATACCCCTAGAATCCTAATATTTAGTGAAATTATAATAAACTATAGTTTATGGATGAATCTAGGTGGAAAAACGTTAAAAAGGCTATTTTCTTGTTTATGGCTAAACATACTGCAAAGATTTAATCTCTATAGTGTGAAGTATAAGATGAATACGGTAAGTGATTTCTACTCATATTTTCATCCTTCTTAATTTGTTAACGACTTGAACATATGAAGTCACCAGTGTTGTCGTGTCCTCCGAGTTGTTCTTTTTACTTGAGAAGCTTTCATTGTCCATCTGGCTATCTTCAGCCCCAATTTCCCACTGGAGTTGTTGTTCAGAAGGCCAATGAAAACTGAGTAATTCAGTCATCCCACTCAGAGAACACAACAACACCAAAATGGCCGCTCGAGCTAGAAATCATTTCCACCATCTCAAAATATGAAGTTAAGAGATAAACCCAACTATAATTATATTTTTCCTACTTGATCTTGTCCCACTCATATAGATCAAAATTGTGTGAATCATGCAGTTTTATTTTCAGCGAATGCCTAAGAAACCCAAGATGGTAACGGTAGCATATTCCGTATGTGAGCATATCCTACTTCTGTTTCTTCCAATACTTCCATTGAATATAATTATTAGGATTTTCATTTTGTCTCTTCTGTTCCCCCGCATAAATTTGTACATATAATAACTACTCACACCTTGACCGTTTTACATAATGTTTCATGTTTTCTTCAACTTCTAATTTTTATGAATTAAACTGTTATTATCACTCTGCACTTCATTGTTTGTACAACTTACAAAATATTCTACAAGAAGGTTCTTACGAATAATGATAGTAGGGTTGACTGACAAAAGTCCCCCCCTAAAACATAAACTTCAGTGTTATTATAATTCAACTATACAGCAAATTGTCATTATTTATGAGTATAGCAGTCCAATGTCAGGTTTTTAGGTAATTATTTATCAAAAAAAGACTAGGTATAATTAAATTCTGCTCAAATGACTGTCTTGTCCACCAAACAGCACAATTTACCTTTATGTAGTGGTGTTGCGCCTTGTTCATCTCTTTCATCAATCTTCACAGTGCCTGATTCTATCAAAGCACGTAACTGAACTAAATCTCCAGAATAAGCTGCTGTATGAGCTGGAAATGCCAACTGTTCAATATCGTCTGATCCTTTGTGAAATGTTTTCTCAGTTTTAAGTTTATTAATATACATTTCAACATCATGTTTCAAAAATCGTTTAGCTAGAGCTTCAGCGGTTTCTCCATGGTCATTTGGAGTATCAAGTAAATACAATGGCGTGTGAACTTGGCTGACTAAACACTGTAACACAGGCAAATGACCTTCCATTGCTGCAAGATGAACTAGAATAAATAGTAATAATAATAATGGACTGAATAAATTACCTATATATATATATATATATATATAACTCTGACAGGTACCAGAATATTTCAAGATCTCAAGTTAACATGTACAACTCAGATGACAGCATATGGAATAACATTAAGCTGTTTTGAAAACCATCTTGAGAGTAAATCACTTTTAAGTCACAAAAGATTTTGAAATCAATTTAAACAAAATCAGTAGTAGATTAGTAGAGAGTGGTTAGCATCAGTTTACATGGGGTAAAATGTGTCTGTACTTGAATCAACCCAGCTCCAGTAAAAGTATATCACGGTAAAGAAATACTCCTGATAAAAAAGTAAACCTCTGGTTTAAATGGGTCATCCAGTCTTTAAAATATGATGCCGGTCAATTCAGTTTAATTGAAGATATCAGTCCTTCATATAAATGTGAGCACTACTCAACCATACATACAGAAATGACAGAAAAACTTTGTTCCGACTTTGTAATCCCTCCGTGAATATATAATGTAGTAAGTCTGTAAGCTTACGTACTTTGCATGATATCAATCACTGATTAGTACGAAAATACAGTGTTCACTTTTTTTTAACACCTGAGATCCTTGTAATGTCATTACAATTTGGAAACATGTCCGTCACATATTGATTTAAACACAAGATTCTTATTTAAAATTCCATCTGATTTACTCTAAGACAGTAATATTTTCAAGCATCTGACTACATCAAAGCCAAAATTTTAATGTGAAACTCAACGCGTATGCTTGATGCCAATGCTAATATTTACATCGTACTAACAAATCTGGATACACAGTAAGCTTAGATTATATATTCATAGATATAGTATCCTGGAATGATGTTTATCGCTAAATTGTTGTAATAAATTTTACGGTACCACACATTCCTTCTGATAAGCTCCTTAATTCTAAAATTTAGATAATCTTCATATACTTCAAAATAGTTGTAGTTACCAGCATTATTTCCCGCTTTATCAGTATCTTCTATTCGTAAACCCCACTTAAGTAATACTTGAACACATCCAAGCCGTCCATGGAATGCTGCTGCATGTAACATTGTCCATCCATTTATATCTACTGTCTCCACATCCTAGACATAAATTTGAATAAATTTAGCGGTATAAATAACAATTTACACTGCAAAATATATACAACAAAATTTATATTATGAACTAAATGTTAAAAAAATTTTTATCATCTAGTTGTTATTAGTCGTTGACTTTAACTTTTAACAAAGATAAAAATGCAAGAGAGAATGATATAAGAATTCCACATTGAAAATGAAACTGACTAGGATATCGTTAATCATGTGTGTTCTCATTACAATTATTCACTATAGAAATTGACACATTAGATTCTAAATGAAACTTACAGCACCAGAACGTAAAAGGGTTAAAAGACTGCCAGAATTTCCATGAATTGAAGCCATATGACCCGGAGTTTGACCATACTTGTCTTGAGCTGAAAGGCTAACACCTCTTTCAGCCAAAGACTTTATGCAATTCTCATATCCTCGTATAGCAGCAATATGAACAGGAGTCCAGCCGCTTTTAGTAACAATCAGTGGATCAGCATTCTTCCATAATAAATATTGTAAAATCTATTTCGTTAGATAAATTCTGTTCGAAAAAATAAATTCCTCGCTTACCTCAATAGCACCAACATTAGCGGCCCAATGTAGCGGAGTGAATGACTGTTTGTCAATTTCATTTATACTAGCCCCACTTGAAATCATCTCTTTAAGCAGCATTAAGTCTCCATGTTTCACTGCTGTATGAATAGTAACTTCTTCATCAGAATTTTTGATCATCATAATTACGTGACTCTAAAATTTAATTGAAAAATAAAGAGAAACAACATTTGTTCACTTTCGTTCCCAATTAACAAATAATCCACCAGTAGTCAGCCAGTTTTCGAGGAATTTCACTGACCTGAATGAATACGGTCACTAAGAATAGCACAAACAACCAGAGCTTAACACTGTCTTTAGCTCCCTCACCAAAATGTAAAATTCTATCAAAGCCTACAATGTTGTTTAGAACTTCTTGACTAAAAAACTGCCATTACGTTTTTCATATAATTAGGCACAAACTAGTTCACTGATGTAAATATTTTTTCAAATTTAATGCTAGCTGTTATTTCCTTCTTTTTCCACGATAAATCTTCAAACTCTGAAGACTTCTTCAAAAAAAATTAACTTAGTCTAATAGTCTTATTTCTACAAGAATATTTTACATGTACTTTATATTTTATAGAGTTATTGTTTTAATTCTGTCCCACTTTGGAAAAAGTATTTTGCACTTCTTTATGTGAAGCTTAACTTCTGAATGTTTCTTAATAATGTATATCTTTCAGACGTAAGCGCGACTTACATGAACTATTTAGTTCACATTCCTCCAGCAGACAGTTAATCCAGTCTAAAGTTAAGGATAAGATACCGCTTTTGACCACCTGAATATATATTTATCAATTTATTTGATCATGTGTAGCAAATTATGTCGGCTGTACACAACGTCAAGTCCAAAAACGTGTCCTGGAGCATTGTCCATCTTGGTTAGCCAGAGGAGAAAAGAATAATGGTAGAAGCTCCATCCTCAAACACCTTGTCATCTCTGGACATCGAGAACCCCGTATGAATGCTTCACAGTGCTACACAGAGTCAGTCAATATCGTACAAATGAGTTTCGCATATGCCACATGTAAATAGCTGAATCATTAGCTATTTGGAATCTGAAACGAGACCTCTACATTCAAAAGCGCTACATACATTCACTCGCCCTACCGTGGCCAGAGTAAAGTTCTTACTATAATTTTGCTTCTTCCTTTTTCATTATGTAGGTTTACTATTATTATTGTTATTATTTTATTATCATTATATTTCCCATCACCCATATTTTATTATTGCTCTATTACCGTTGATTAATAACACTGCGTTTTCATACAGATTTTACATGAAAACACTTTATCGTCTTCCCACTAGTTCCTGTCCATTCTACAGAATCTTATTGATTAGTCATTATTTGGCACTTATTATTATTATTGAATGAAGGAAATTTTAGAATTATGAGATTGTTCTCACTTTTCAAAGTTAGGTAGACGAAAAGTAAAATGCATTTTTAGTAACAGACCCAAAAAGGCACAGAGCTGTGTTGTTATTGTAAACTAAACACATCTTTATGCCTTTAGGTCATAAGCTAATTTGTTATATCAGCTCTAACAGATTGATCGCTGATGAAATCTCAGCACGGATACAGAAGGATCGTTTGGTATTTGCCAACACATGCCATCTCTCGTGTAGCAGACGTGATATCGGGCTGGTATCGTGTGTACTGGTCAGCAGCAGTTCGCCTCATCCTCCTTCATGGCTGTGAGGCATGGCTGTTGAAAGTAGAAGACATGGAAGGCCTGGCTGTCTGTCTGTGATTATAAGTGGTGTTTGCGTTCTATCCCCCATGTTGGTCAATATAATATGGTGAGTAATATTGATATGTTTAGGCTTCGGTTTAGTGTTAGGTGGTAAAGACGGGAAATCAATCGACGAGGTTGTGAAGTTACATCGACTGAGACTGCTAAGACATATGTTACACATGCCTAGCCATCGTCTTCCTTGACGGTGATCAATGTTACTTGGCACGGGACCAGGTTCTAAAAGAGTCAGTGGTGGCCAAACAAAAATATGGAGTCAGTCAATAAAATCCATAAGAGTTATTTTAAGCCAGCCTGTCGGCCACGTTGGTGGCACAGAGGTAGAAAGCTTGCTGACCACGCGTATGGTCTGGGGTTCGATCCCCAGCCAGCGCACTCCTATACCTCCCTAGACCAGTAATAAGACTGGTAAAAGGGGAAGGTTGTGGACGGGGCCAGCAACCCCATCCCGTAAAAATAAACCCCACTGCTACAGAAAATTCAAGTCTCTAGCTTGAAGCCCTATGTTTCACTAGGGAAAGTAAAGAATAAAAAAACTTCTGGCTCTCTTCTAACTTCCACTTAGTCACCCCTCTGGGTTACACCTTACATTACCCAACACGTTTTACGATGACAAATTTTACCAGTATCTGATTGGTCTTATGATCTTTTCTTTAAGTATAATTACGATATCCCAAATTCTTGTATTCTGCCAATACCTTTTTACTGCTCCCCGAATCTTTCCCGGGCTACTTAGGAAAAACTTTTATAATGCGAAGGGCGCTAAAGGCCATCAGTAAGGAAAGTGGGGCGTTGCTAAACCAACTCGTTAATTCTACCGTAGATAGAAACATGAATTCCTGCAAGAAATTTAGCGAACATTATTTTGTCAGACTCTGAGCATCTTCTCTATGCACAGGTGTCTCCTTGCATCTCATCAGATAGAACTAGAGGCAACTATGGAAGACTATATGCTCGGACAACTAAGTACAAAAACTCTACGATACCTTAATTAGCACACTTTTATGTGATGAGAAAAGTGTAAGACAGAAAACCACCAAATCACTGTGGAACTCTAAGTAAACGGCCCTCTTATTATTTTTTTCCATTGTTACATTGTTGTTAATATTTTCACTTAATTTTGTATTTATTTTCCTATTGAACAAAATTATCATTGTGAATGCCCTGTTTTAATTGTTATCCCTGTTATGAGAAAGTTAGACGCAATAATGTACTACATGCTGAAAATTCCTTATTTTTACCAAAAGTAGTGTTTGGAATAAAGCTAATATTATTATTTTTAAAATCCAGCATTTTAAACACACTCTTTTCTGACTTATATGTTCTTAATGAAATTTTTGAATATTAGTAACGTATTTGTCTCTGCATTACATGTAAATGTTCTTTTCCTTTTCCTACTGCACTTTGAAAAATAGCAGCTGGATGCACATTTGAAAAAATTTCAGTCATACAATTTTCAGTAATGCCCAGTAACATCATAATTTTTCTAACGATCCTCAATTACATCTGCAAAATAATCACCAATTGATTTTTCTCGGCAACTGCTGACATAAACAAAAAGCCAAATTTTCTTAGTTTTGCTGCTCAGGTACTTTAAAATTCTAATATATTTACTCGTACCGATTCCCAAAAATTCCCCAAACATTAGAATTTTACCCAGCATTTTCCTCAAATTTCACAAACCCAAAGAACTACGTCAATTTCATATGAGACGTGTAACAAAACATTGTAAAGCAAAATAAAATAAAAAGGCACTTCTGCATGTGGGGTTCTCTTCCAAAAATCCAATTCTATCTCGAAATTATTAGGAATATCCATAGTGCACCCGAGGTTGTGTTAAAACAAATATTTTAAATACAAGAATTTCCCTGAAGCTTATGTGACGGCAGATTCAAAATAGCTTTGACTTTCGGATCTACTGTGTCAGAACAGATTATGTTCACCATGAAAATATGTAACAAGTTCTTATAGTTCCAAAAAGGACTACATTGAACATGTCTTATTCCGGAACATATCCAATTTTGCCAGGTGTTAAGTGGTCTGTCAGTCACTATCAGCTTTAGAGCTTCATAATACTAAAAATAATTTGGTCAATAAATCAATACGACAAAAATAAAATAAATAAATAAATAAAATAGTTTGCTGCCACAGTTAAACTCAGCGGGGCGTTGAGTACATATCTGAAATTGTATTTGTACATCACAAAAAGCAGTTTACTTCACCGTTCAATATCATAAAAAGCTTTCAAAGGTTTTGTAACCTCATGATAAGAGCTGTTCAATGTTGTGAAACCCTTTCGAATATCCAGTAGATTTCCTCACAACATATCTATCTACTTTCAAGTCGTAGCTACGCTCAGTTCAGATATCGTTTGCTGGAGAGTGTACGATACTTCCCAGGACTGTGCAACAGTTTGGACTCTCTACCGCATTTCACGCAGACATCCCTGTGGACCCACCGAAAACACATTGCGTATGGCAGTACCTCCAAGAGAATTAAAGTGAAGAACTGAGTAAAAAGACTAGTAGAGGAAGGCACAAGATTTATATGAGACATTGGATTTTAATAGAACGAAAAACATGACAGTCATAGCAATTCAGGTAGCGAACAATTATGATTTCGGTGGCGGCTTTCCCTCCAGCGAGTTCATTACCCACCCTAGCAGTGGCTATGAATGACGTCTGTGGATTTCACAGATAGTGGACTCTAAGACCAAAGAAAATGGACCGCACCTGTGTTGCTGCTCCTTGAGGTGTATATCTTCTTCAGTTTCCTGGACGATGTCTACATTATTCTCCTGGGTTATTAGCATCCTTCAGGTAGCCTGAATTGTTCACTATTATACAAGCTATAAATAAGTCCCTTAGCGTCTACTGGAATTTGTATAGCGAAGCTTCTCTATTAGTGAGATTTCTTCTGTCGGTAGGCTGCAATATACTCTTGACATTCGGCACCACTTTTCTTTGCTATTCCTGTCAATCCTTCCACGTTACTCATTGCCATGTATGGATGTTTCCTTTAGTAGATATGCTTACGCTCGTTCTGATACTGAAATAAACTATCAGACTCACTGTAGTGTTCGCCACTGATATTATTTATCAGTAATGCATAAGGCGGCGTTAGCAGCATAAAAATTCTAAGCGGCAGATAGGTTTGGCGACAAAGAGAGGAAATGAACCAGCACTGAGGCGAATTAAGGGTGAAATGAAAAGAAGAGAAAAACACAATAGGAAGTGCAGAATTAGCACAAAACGGAAGATCTATGCAAAGGACAGTTTTATTATGTTATTTGCATTTTGTTCTGTGCGCATATCGAGTGGAAAATAAACGTACCGCTTCCAAGTCTCTTGTCTTCTCCTGCTACATCACATAGTTGTGTGTTCTCAGTTAGGTTAAGCGGGCTGGGGAGCAGGAAGCTGACACATAATGATGTCCGCGTACACAGGTTATGTCCGCGGTCGTTTCCAGGTTTTGTGCTTCTGTTAAAGTCAACGTATTTCAGGGTAAATAAGTTGCGATATCCTAACAAATCCCTTTGCAAATGTGCTCTTCAAGTGTTGAAGTGCTACTCCACATTCTTCTCCTACAGCAAATCATTAAATTTCCACCCTGAAGTTTTCAATAGGCTTCTGCACCTCAACAGGGGTCGGAGAAATTTCACTTTAATTCTGCCAACCTGTTTATTCACCCAGTGGAGTAAAAGCAGCGGGGTCGTAGACAAATAGTGTTTCAATTAACAAGAGGAAAGTGGTTGGGTTGTTCTGCAGTTTCACATCTCCACAAAGTCTGACTATGCCATCTACCTAGACTTTTCAGTTAACAGGCGTGAGTATAATCGGTTAACGACCATTTTGCGTATGGAGTAAGGGAGGACTTAGTCGTCGGATGAATACCGATCAAGCTAGGGACCCAGTCATTTTGAGTGGCTTTATTGCATATCCCCCCTAATTTTAGAGTTGAGGTCCGTTGCCATGTTCGTTTAGAGAAGAGTTGTCTTTTATATGCATCCTAAATGAAATTTTGTAGTAGAAATTTTCTGACGCACATAATATCAGCAGTAAAATATGCTTGAACTGCGTCACATTTTCTGAATTTGTATCAGGAATTGTCAATTGAAATTGAAATCTGAGCAGTGTGATGAACCGAATAAGGTGGGAAGCTCAAAATTTAAAAATAATTATATATTTATTCCTATGTATGTAGGACACACCAGTTGTACAGGCATGGATAAGTATTATTTACATTACATGAATTTGATTTATAGTGAAATTACATGGTCTCTGTCCTCTCTGGCATTAGTTAGTGAGTACAATCTGATAGCTAGTCGTTCAATGGAGCACATTAAGAAATATAGAAATATTGTCTTCGCATTAACAGAAAAACCCAAGTATGTGTTAGATGGATTACAAATATTTGGGAAAAAATAAAGCTTGAAGTCAATTCCTCCATATAACTTTGGTGTGTGCATCATCGTATCTTTTTCTTGTTTTATGTTCAAATTGGGTATTAATTTGAAATGAGTGATTTATCTGTATGATTTTGACATCGTTTTTATCGCAAGTAATACCAGATGTGAATTCAACTGAACGCAGAATAGTATTGGTTATTGTCAGGCAGATTTGTTTTACTGCGCCCACATTAGCAAATGCCCGCCATTTGTCACTGCATGGTTCGTCTGTTGGAGGGGTGAGGCTAAACGTTATAGCCATATGCTTTCGCGCAGTGTATGGGCTATCGCGTTCACGCCTATAGAGGCGTTATAATCGCTCGGTTTTGTGAAAACAGATTATATTTGACAAGTTTTAGGCTTCTGTAGCCGAAAAAAGCAATATTTTGCTGTATAGTGTTCGTAGTAATGCGTAAATTTGTCTTGATAGCCCAGACGAATTATTAATAAAAAAAGTCATCCTTTCTAAGAAATTTCGCATTGAAAGACTTTTTTGCGTTTTAGAGCCTTGAGGCTTTGTGTTTTGCGAGTTGTCTTAGATCTTAAGGTTGTAAATTGACTACAGGCAGTGGCTGTTGTCATACCAGTTATTTTATGAGAATCGGGCATTTGAAAGAGAAAAAGCCTACAGACATAAGTTAGACGTGTGTTTTAAGGATGTTAAGCTCTTCTGTTATCATGCGTGATGGCTGAAATATTCCATAACACATCGAGGAGATCATGCGATGAATGAGACAGGCTGTTGAATTTCCTATATGTGTAAAACTTGGGCACTGTGGCAGTAATTTGAATTTCCTGTTGATTATATCTATTTTAATGAAGTTCCTAGTTAAAATTGCTTAGGCGAAGAACTGATACTAGTTTAATTTATATTGCCGCATGTAATTTCGGGAGACCGTAAATGCTCAATGCATAACATGGCATCAGATTATGTTGATATCAGTATGCATCGGGTCATGAAGAACAGTATAGGTGGTGCTCCAAAAATGTCAGACTACTTAAAATTAGTATCAGCTTTCTGTCGATTAGTAGCTAGCAGCTGTGTCCTACAACTATTACACCTGTTACACAAGTTATACCAGTCTTAATAATTATTCGTTTTCAGATCACTAAGATATTCTGAGATCCTTAATGGATTACTTGTGGCTATGAAGTATATGGAAGATGCACTTATAGCTCATATCTTTAAAGCATTTATCATTAAACAAGTTATCTGTAGAGATTTTGTGATGTTCAGGTTACAATGCTTGAGTGTACGTAGTGACTGCATGCCTCTGTGCGTGAAGGAAAAGTTGGTGAAAATGAAGATATACAGCGTTCATTGTGAACGGTTTACAAGTTAACACTTATCATAGCCTGTTCTAATTACTCTTACAATAATTGAACGACTTAAACTTTCGAGAAAGTATTAATTTACGATATTTCACGATTGCAATTCATAACATAACTTATTGTGCCTGTAGATATGACATGCATTCCTTGTAAACACCCGTTTATACGACATATTAAATTACTATTATTTGCTTGCTGCTATACTTTAGAAGATGAACAATGTGTGTGTCAGTCGAAACCACAGAAGAATGCTGTCATGAACAAAGAATGGAGTTTTTTAGCAAAGGTAGGCAAATATAACGCGTTTAACTTTAATATTACCTCTTTCTTACTTTAGCGATTTAAAAAATACACTTTGTTTACTTATTTGCAGATATCTGGTAACGTCAGTCAGCCTGG